CGCGGATATGTAGAAACTTAATAGGAATGGGGCAGCAAAAAATGCACAATTATTTTTGCGACAATCTAATAGTTCTCGAGCGCTGTGCGGATTCTATGAAATCTATTGGGACAGAGGAAGAGAGTACAGGTAACGGTTCTGAAAATTTGAAAATTGGGTTGCTTCTTTCTCCTTGTTCAAATCATAAAGGCTAGCTAGAGAATAAACTGATGAAGAAGCCGAAATGAGGGCTTTTTCAGCATGAAAGGATAAGCCGCACAAAATATTTCCCAAAACTCGGAGCGTATGTGAGTTTTTTTTCTTAACCCATTGACGATCATGACGTTTCGTCCACTCGCGAGTGGTCCAGAATGACCATTTTTTGAAGTTTATAAGAGAAATTATAAGTTCTCCGGAATGTTCCTTCAAATGGGTTTGGTAAAATGATTGTAGCGAATGCTACTTTGTATATAGAGAGGACATGACACATTCCATAGCCACCTCCTTCAGACTTCTTGCTGAGCCAGTAAGTCGTCCAGCTGCAGAAGGCGTATAAATGGGGACCAAATCGGGGGTCGGGGCTTCGGCTCTTCGCTCTTCGGCTCCACCGCTATCGGATTGCTACTGTTCGAGTGTCACCATCGAGAAAAGGATCCCTCCCTTATACGACCACAAAGGACGACAGATCCCAGCAATATTGGACGCGCTGCAGATCCAGTTCGTTACCGTTATTCGCTATAGTTATAATAATAAAGTATTAGTATTACTCAAATTCTGTCTGTTAAAGAAAGACCCGCGTGGCACATTGTCGGTATCGGCCTAGTACGTACGTGATATGGGTCTGCAATAGTTGGTATATCTCCTATACAAATCTAGTGCAACGTACACTACAATGATCACATTGAGTGATTATTGATCTTTATTATAGAAACGGCGTTCGTTCTAGTGATCATTCAATTGTGAGTTCAATCATTATCGGAAATCGTTTCGGGGAACTTCTACGAGCTTTGCATTTGGTCGATAACAGCGAAAATACCAATGAGGACAGTATTTTTGAAATAATATCTCATTTTTCGAGGTTGTTCACCGAACGAAGAATTCACCAAGGTAATGTACCCCTTCGAAAAAGAAACACCATATACACCACATATGGACTGCATGGTCGTCAATGGGTTAAAAAGCTGGAGCTGAATACAGGTTTGCCTCTACTCAGGCCAAGGCCATGAACTAGTTGTAGCAATGACCTTTGAACATTTTCTATTCAAAAAACGAATGACTGACACTCGACTTGTAGGACAACATTACATACAAGTGCTACTCACTCATATTAGTGATAACCAGTTAACACGTCTTGCATGGTGTTATGAAAAAACATGCTTGAAAGAGAAGTACAGTAATTGAAACCACAGTAACCGGAACAAACCTTAGAGCCAGTGGCTCATTTTCATGTTCCCCTTCATACGACGGCTGTTTCGAACGAGTTGATCGATTGTCTTCTGAATCCCGTGAATCCTTCAGCCCAAGCATCGTACCAATGAATGACTTCTGAGAAATTTTGTTGAGCACTCGAGAATGAGTTGAAATTCTCAAATGGAAAACCCTCGCCAAAAAGACTACAGAAAACATCTCTGTTATGCGCTCGTTTTGAAGACACTTTCTTAAACATTCCCAAAGCAGATTATTGTCTATAGGTTTGGTTACGCAAGAAATCTTTCCTCAAAGAATGTACATAAACTAAGAGCACACCGTAGTATTCGGAGATCAAAAACTGAGTGCATCACTGTGAACGGTAAGCAACACTAGCTGGATATTACAACTCGAAAGAAGATCCTCATCACGGAGGTCAGTTCGATTGTTCCACTCTTCTGAGAGAAAGGATGTTGATGCACTTGAGAAGGTACAAAACTATATGAAGCGTAAAATCCCTTGCCGATGTAGGAGTTTGTTCTATTCTAGGATCCCTAGAGCATTAATTCGCAACAAATGCTTTGAACTCTCTACTTTGGAATCACGGCGCAAAGTATTCGACGTATGTATGGTTTACAAACTATTATACTGAAGTAATATATTTGATTCTTTTATCGTTATAACACGGCTCACTCTCGAACCAGAGCGTTCAGACTGAAACAAATCTTCTCGAGCCCAGAGCCGGTGAAAGAGCCAGAAGTTTCACATTTAGAGCGGCTGGTCTTTACAAAAAGCTAACAAAAAACATAAATATTCCGGATTCCCTGTCTAAGTTCAAACGCACTGCGGCAGTAATTTCATCTAAGCATGATCTTTCATAGTCCCTTGCCTTTGACCGTTTCTTCTGTGACTTTGTTTTAGATCTAGCCTTGAAGTTTCACTAATTGCCTTATTTTACGTGCTTCTCTTTGTATGATTACGTATTATGTGTCCCTTGTATTTATCCGTCGCTTGAAGGCACAGTTCACGATAATTTTGGGTAATCCAGATTATGATGAAAAATGGAAGACAAGGTGGGAAATAGTGCGATGAAAATGGAGAAACTGCGTGAATCCGTATCTCCAAAGTGAAAAAAGGCTTCGAAAATCATTAAAAAGGGGGCTGGACGAGGTTGATACCAGAAAAATGAAGAAGAGTGAAGCGTTTGGACGAGCTATACAATGTGTCTCACTGCGTACGTGCGAGCCCCGGTACGAATAACAGACTATGGTAAGCAAAAATTCATTCACTTATGAACATAAGTAAACAAAAACCCTAGTAACAGCAAAAGTAGCTCACCTTTTCCAGCCTCAAGGAATATTAAATTAAATAAGGGATCGCGGCAGCAAGAAGAATAACAGAGGAAAAAAGAATGGGAGAAGACCATCGCCTCATCGCTCGGCGACCAGCTGATTGTCTGTGGGTCCTAGAACGAATAGTTGCAACCTGTATGGTCTCAACACTCGACTGACGTGATGACGTGACATCGATCGATAGGCGGGAAAAGCCATTGACGTTTTTGCCCGTTGAATTATAGTGAACTGTGCCTTTAAGTTGGTTCCAGAAGGTTGGTATCATTTTACTACGTTTGCCTTGGCAGCGTAATAAACATAACATGACATAACATTAGACGGTCCTGAAGTGAAGACTACATATTGTGAATGATAAAGGAAGCCATAAATTCGACTGAAGATGTGGTATCTGTTCTAAGAATGAAATAGGAGAGTCAACACCATACTCTCTAATGGCATGAACTGGAGCAAGTGTTCTCTGCGACCCAACGGCAGATCGCCTGGGAAGTTCGGGTAGAGGGGATGGCGGCATCAAATTAGAGCAACAATCCACAATACGAAATTTAACACACTATTTGCTAACTGACGACCAGAAAGGTTCGTCATGGTAGGGTAGCGGGCGAAGTGCCAGAATAAAGTATCCACCGACAGTTTCCTACAGGACGTGATCGCCGCGACTTTGAAGCACTACGGTTGCATACGCTCCAGTGAATTGCTGTGATAATTGAAGGAGACGTCGGGTGAACCAAAAAATCCCGCCAGCCGCCTACCAAGAAGAGAAAATACAAATGAATTTATGTTGAGAGTATCACCGCACCTTTCTATCTCTTCCTTGGTCCTGGAATTCTTGCGGAATAGCTGGTGGTCGAATCCCCGATACAACCGACATACTTCTCGGCTTGTACTCAGCCATCGTCCTACGCAGTGCTTCTCGATCTCTGAAATATTGGTGGACTGAAGGATACTTCATTCAGCAATTCGTCGGAAAACTTTTCAAACGTGAGAAGCAAGCACAGTTTAAAGGCACACTGATGAGAGGACACACCATTCAGTTACATTAGTACGACTTTCCGTCACCGTTAAATCCGCATTAGTTGGAAAGATCCGATCGGACAAGTGACAGATCTGTTAGCTCGCAGCAAATCGATATATTGATTGTTTTCATTCATTTTATCATTGCACTTCATAATTGAAACATAAATAAAAACAAATAAGCAGATTGCAACGCCATGAAAACATAAGAAAAACATAAGACAACAACTTCACAAAGGACAACAGTTAAGTGAAATCGTAAAACTTACTTATTTCTGACAAAAGATTCGTTGCATTTTACTGGGAGTGAAAGCCGTATATACTCCATCGTTGCCTTCTCAGATGGGCCGCTTTCAGTGATCGTAGTCTGAAAATGTTTATGATTGACAAGAAAATGAAACACAGGATAATCTTGGGTGAGTTGCCCTTTTTCTCCTTTCAAACTTCAATCTGAGAACATAAACTCATTTCTATTGCATCTACGAGATGAGAAGACTCTGCCAACTCAAAGTATCTCAGGTGTCATTAAAGAACACTGCAGCTCAAGTCGACCATCTTGCCGATAATGGGCTTCACGTCCAGTACGCCGAAGCTAAGGATTTCCCCGAACAATAATAATGCCAGCCATCCCGGTACGGACGGGAGCCCTTGGTCTAACAAGATATCACATGTATTCCGTTACCGTAAGTCAAACTAGGGTGACTGTATCTTCTACTGCCTGCTCCCTATTTGGTTGGAAATCAGGTGATCCATTTGAGCAGCTAGCAAGCGTGCTTCTTAGGTGTGACCTGGATAGAAAGAGACCTCAGAAGCAGAGATTTCCAAAAGAAATGAAGTCTCATGAACAAGAAAAATACTGCAGGAATGGCAGATTCAAACAATGTCCTGAACATTCAAAATTAAGCGATTTTTTCCTATTCCTCGTGCTTTAGGAACCGCCAACGCTTGAGCGTTTCCAATTCATTCGAGCAGGTTTGCATGGAAAATCGAGCAGTGGCATGAAAAGATGGTGGCTACCTTCTGTGTGAGCTTCAGGCATGGTGGACTGTTTCCAGTAGCTGGGATACGAGAGATTTCTAGCAGTGATCCGCTGCTAATGTCCTCGAAACGAGGTAGCTGCTTGGCAAACCACATCGGCATCATACGATACATATTTCTGAAGGAAATTGAAATGATCCCGAAACAAGTTTTTCACAAAACAAGTTAAGCCAAAAGTTGAAGTAAAGAAAGCCTAAGTGTTGCGTTCAGCTGAGTCGGGACTAGTGTAAGGATGCGCACCCTGTAAGACAAGTAGTTACCATACTTACACACAAAATGGCTCGTNATCGGCATCATACGATACATATTTCTGAAGGAAATTGAAATGATCCCGAAACAAGTTTTTCACTAAACAAGTTAAGCCAAAAGTTGAAGTAAAGAAAGCCTAAGTGTTCAGCTGAGTCGGGACTCGTGTAAGGATGCGCACCCTGTAAGACAAGTAGTTACCATACTTACACACAAAATGGCTCGTATCCTTCCTGCAGACCACAGCTTGTGAAAAACTTCAATGAGTTACTCTGCTGGCCGAAATTCAATCGACCTGAATATCAGATTCTGAACCATAAACGACTCAAAAACAATCCAATGAAGAAACCAACCTCTCTGCCCACTTCCCAAAGACATTGCCGGAACTAGACCATCACCACAAATTACGTTATCGAATGCCATCTCGGAACCGGATGGGTCCTAAAACAATGCGAAGAATCATTTCTAGATAATTTGTTAGAAGGAATTAAAAAATTCTTGTGAGCACGGAAAGGTAATGTATTTTCTCATTATATACCATTTATCACCGCTTTTCGTAGTACGCTTGCTTGACCGGGAGGCCTTTTCATTACGAGACAAGGTACTCAAAAAGACCTAATTTTCTAGAAAACGCGAAAAGCACCATTTTTTCGTTCAGTGTGTCCATTAAAGAGTCCAGTCTCAACTCAAGGGCCCCTCTTCTCTTTAAGTGGGTTATGGCTGAAAATGGGTTCTATGGGTTCTCTGGTTCAATGGTCATTACAAGATTGCATGACGTATTCTGTCAGCCTGATAGGACTCCTGTCAGCCTGATCGAAAGCANTGTTGAAGGCGTTCAAAACTACTATTTTCTTTCTGCGCCTGTCTTTCTGTGCCACTAGATTCTGATTACTATGATTTCGTATAGGGTTAAATGATGGTCTATTGGCCTCAAGATGATGCGGGGGCAAGTAATATAGTAAAATTATTGAAAACAATCGTAGCGCTGTTTATCTAGCAGCCCGCAGAGCACTACGCTATGCTGACGTAAATCGGGTGCACTACTTTACAGTTGAGTTGCATTACAGTGGCACCTCTACTGGCCCCATTATTCATGGCCCCAAGTACCACGCGGAGAATCGTCAGCCCTCATCAATGTTATCCATCAAGTCACACTCATGGAAGTAACCTGACTGAATAATAAATTCCATTCAACTCACCAAAAGCAGTTCTCCATTGAGTGAGAAGCTAATGGTCCGGTCATTGAGATCCAAGAAACAGCCGACAACGTCACCAATCTGAAACCCATGAGGATGATCGCTTTGCAGAACCACAAGAACTTATCTCAAAAGGACTACTCACTTTCCATTCTTTACCGTAACTTTCTCCTCCTTGATGCCATTTCCGGCCCAAGTAGCTGAAAATTCATAGTTTAGATGAGCATCACTAGGAGAAAGAAGAGTTAGATTTCATGCTTCTAGGCTTTAAGAGCTTTTGAGCTTTCATAAATTCTACCGAAGGTAAGGGACTGGATATTACAATAGAATAAAATTCTACCCACCCATCAAAGGCATATCCGTGATCATCGTGCCCAAGCTGTGTGTCTGGCGAGGCTCCGACGTCCATCCAACCAATTTTCATGAAGCCAGCCGTCAGGATTTCGAATTCGAAGTACCTACATCCAATGAAAGTTAATTGCTTAGTAAGTAAAGGCCCACATAAACTACTATTTGATTACCATTTGCCACTGGTCACTGCATACGTTGCTTCAGCTCGATATGTCCTCACAAGGTCTTTACGAGCTCTCATCTCTTTCTCGGCATCTGAAATTTAATTGGCGCTCTTGAATTCAACCAAAAACCATCATAGGTGAATAATCAAAAACCTAATATTAGATAATAAAAATTATTATTTATTTAAACTTGTCTCGTACATTCGTCATGTTCGTGGGCAGGTGGCTCTATGAAAATGCCGAATAGTTGCAGTGCTCGAAGATTTTCAGCAGCTGATTCCTGAAAGAAAGCAGGGATGTGACATGGCTATATGTCGGGTGGCTGGAAATTGTAGAATAGCATACCTTATTCGCCTCCTTTATCCTGTTATCAACTTCTTCGTATGGTACCAGATGTGGAGAGCGCTTCTGAGTGGCGTCGACAAACTAGAATTGATTTTTCAGCTTATCGGACTACGTTACACTTCTAATTTGCAGGTTTTTGGCGATCGAAGGGCATAGGTGCAAGGACGCACTTTCACATATGCATGGTCCTGGGATCAAATTCTCAGATCAATGTTCGCCCATGCAACCAAACTTTTCAGCCCTTATGGATTATTTGGTTCCCGGCTCGTCTCGGAGGGTAAAAAACCGAATTGTCTACCGGCTGGCCTATGCAGTTCACTGAATTGGTTACGCACCCAAACAAATAAACACACACGCACATCAAATGCTACTGTGATCCTACATGAAAGTCGCATGCAGCGGCGCGTCCGAAAAGTGGGAGAGCTTGACGCCAAAACTCCAGTGTGATGATGAAGGCTCTGCGACGCGCTCAACCATTACCCTACCCTGCCCAAGGCCTTTCCAGCTCTACAGGGAAGGAGCCCAGAACCATAGAATTTATCTGGCTATGAACTTTTTTTAGTTTCCGAGCCTGCGTGAGATTCAGTAATAACTACAGCAAGGCGTTTACATCCATGTTTGGGAGACGGAGAAGAAAGGATATCCGCGCATCAGATTCTTGTGTAAAGGTCTGTCACAGTATTTGCTTAATATAGCCTTCACCCGTTTTTTTATTTGGATACTTTTCATCCGACGAGGCTGCAAGGCCTGACGATAAGTTTGCTGCTGCGCAGTTAAGTATATCCAGCTCAATGAAACATGGCTGCAGCTCTGGCTTAATTATTAGAAAGCGTGAAAAGACGAAAAGGCTAGCTTGAGGCTCCTTTGAAAGAACTGTCTCATTCAAAATAACAAAATTTACCTCACTGAGTCCGAACGTCCATCCTCTTTTGATCTTTTCCTTAGCCCAAACATTATGTGTATTTCTTGCCAACGCTTCAATGAGCGGATTCAATTCTTCGGGAAGCACAATCTCGTGCGTATCCAGTGGCTGTGGTTTGTAGCCATTCGATTGTTGGAAACTGAAAGCCAAATGAAATTGGTATCCAATTTGTAATCAAGTGGAGAGGAATAACCGCTGCAAGAAAGGAACAGGACCGGCAAAAAGGATGAATGCAGGTGGTACACTTGATGATCAAAGAAATGTCTTCCATTTCACCTTCTACTCTTTCGAGATGCTCAAAACGTTTGGAAACCTCCGTTCACTACGTGAGTTGTTCACTCAGCTAAGTTACAAATCAAACTTCCAATTCATTACCGCATCTATTAGACTTCTCTTGATGATATATTTTCGAGAAGAAACGCGTATCGATGGAGACGGTGGAAAAGTATTAGTAAATTACTCCAAAAGCATTGAAATGTGACGGTAGCGGGTGTGGTACCTTGTCCTCGGAAATCGGGTCGCGCTCGCCGCATCCGTTCGCGCGTAGTCGCGCGCGAAGGTGAAGGGTAGGTTAAAATTCCCAGTAAAGGGTAAAGAAGCCGCTGCGGGACCACTGCTGCTTGCCGTAGGAATTCGGGGAGAAGTGCCGCCACTCCGGTGGAGCTAGTGAGGTCGCAAGTACGCGTTGCTTTTACGCATGGTCCGAGGATAGATATCCGCCCAGGCCAACCGAGCCTTCCATGACTCCAGAGATTTCAGAGACGCATTCTATAAAACTAAACTAAACTAACTAAACTAAAACTTTTCAAATTTCGAATGTAATCTGAAGGTTCTTCTTAGCAGTAACCAGATCCTATAGAGAATCAAGCTCGACTTTTTCAAGTGGGAGCTCAAGGATAAAATGAATGAGGAAAAGAGACTCACTTTGGTGTTAGCCGTACAGGGCGAAGCCTCGTTGGAGGTTCGTCAGTGATAAGGTGATAACCGAGAGCTTCGATCGTTTTCATCGTATCCAGGGACAGATTGATATTATATTGCTTTTCTGTAGCTGGAAGACGATCGAACGACGTTAAGCAAGGGTGCTTCCTCTGAGCTTCGGAACGGGTCTGAACATAAGAGCCTGAGCAGTAATACGCAAAGCTACTCCTGTGACTAACAAAGGGACAAATCAAGTACGTCTTATGAAGAGTCATTACCAGTTATTCATAAGAACGATATGGCTCTCTGCCAAAAATAGAGAGGAAACAAATTCTTCCTCACCTCGCCATAGCTCCAACCGAGCTCAATCTTTCGCATGGCCCACAGCTCATGAAGATTTTCCGCGAATTTCTGATGGATCTCTTCGGCATGGTGATGTAATGTGATATTGCTGAAAATGTTTGAAATTCTTTCGAGACATCAAATGATCAGTTATTCAGCACTCTCACCTGATATCCACAGGCTGAGGAACAAATGGTTCTACCGTAGTAAACAGGGTATGCGGACCACAGTAGACGTTCTTTGGTAGATCGCCGAACGACAAACAGTCCGATATCTGCAACAGAGCAGACTAGCACAGTAGCAGTACCAATATTCTTCACGAAAATGAAGAAAGAAAAATGAAAACCTAGGTAAAGTAAAGTGCCTAACCCAACTTGTAAGGTGCCTTACTCGGGCATGTATGATCAAAGCAATTTGATAGTGAGAAAAAGGAACTTTTCAAGGAATTGATCTAGAATGCGAAAGGAGAACATTTATGTGCAAGTGAATGAAAATGAACATCTATGGTACGTGAATATCTACATGAAGTTAATAAAATTATGATTTGTTCTGTAATTTTAACATTGACATTGGGGATCGGAGAGCGAAAATCATGTTAATCTAATAATTTTCACAAATGAAGCACAGAGCAGTATTCACAAACATCTGAAGGAAATATCGGATTCCTCTGAAGAATGTACCAGTTACGTGGGTCTCTATCTCACGAAAATTGTCCAAATTACCTGCAATTCCCCGCTAACTGCCTCCACTGCAGCGGAAAACCCAGGTGGTGGCCCGAAACGAAGTCGACCTTGGTCGCCACCGAAAATGAAGCGGCAACTGGAATAATGACCAACTCTAGTAAATATTTGAGACACATCCATTTACTAAAGTCATCAGACCACCTACCTGACTTTAGCGCTCAGCGACATTACGGGGAAAAAGTAGCCGTCTGTATTGAAATCTCGATAGCTAGCACCAACGTCGCGTCCATTTACGGAAAACCTGAAATCCTGGTTACTGAATACAAAGAATGGGGAACGCTCTTGTCCCTAGCCACCTACACCTCCATTTTCTTGATAAGTCTACTGAGCTCGAAAATAATAATCAATGATTACACCCAGAGCCCTTATACCCTTCCAAAACCGCTACGAACTTCTCGGAAAGGTTTATAATTTTGCATCAAAAGCTTAATGCTAGCCAATCTCTCTGATTGACGGGTTTCATAAATGGCCAACGTCTGGATTTATGAACACTTTCACAGGTACTACTATACACGGGGACCTTTTTTGTACAATTTCAATACTGAAGGCATTAAATACCTGAGTTCAGGCACATTCAAATCCAATGCACATCCTACGACGTCGCCTTTTTCGAGTTTCTTCGGTGAAACAACTCGACCACGACCGGCGAAATAGACGCATCGTCCATCAAATCCATACGAGTAGAAGTCGTCACCGACACCATTGCAGCCCCACCTGAATCGAGGGAACTAAGCAATCCATAAGAGATAAAAAAGAAGGGAAAAGAAGAATTGAATCTAAGGGGGATTATATTTTGCCAGAATTAGCGGCTGCCCATACTAGCTGTAACATTCATTGGGAAACCTTGCCTTGGCGATAGAAATTCCGCAGCCTATAGGCGGCCTCGTAACTAAATGGAAACAATAAAAACTTATGGTGTGTTTGAACTGCTACGAATCGAGATCTTTTACGGATTAACGATTCCACTAGTGCAGTGAGTCTACTCACCACGGCCACGGAAGGATTGTGGACCATGGGAGTCCTCAGGCAAAGAAATGATGCCCCCACCATAGCACTCATTGAGTACAGCGTCGAAAAGCAGTTTCACTCATGGAATGCTCGAAAAAACTTCGAAATGTTGGGTGACGTGTTGAGGGGTTATGCAAGGGGCTTTTTAAATCACAATCGCTCACTTATCGCCAGATCCTGGGAATGGTTTGAAACCGAGACTGTTTGCCCAGCCGACACGAAGGTAGGGATCCTAAAATGTAGAAGATGAATAGTTGAGGATAGTACAACAGGACACTATTCAAAAGCATCTACGAACTGACTTCCTTAGTCATTTTTTCAATGTGTTCGACCTCAGCCTCGAAATACCATCGTCGGAACAGTGCTGAACCATCGACAACACCGACAAGAACGTTTGGCATCATACTGGAACGACATATTCCGTTTCGCACCTTCTATCACCTTTAAAGGCCATGCTCAGTGCCGACCTGCTAACGTGGTCCCTCATTGCCGTCTGGAGCAACAGATCCTTGCCTGGTAGCAGATAGGAGGTGATCAGATTCTGACTGCTCCTCACTGCCATACCATTTCCTTCACACAATGAGGAGAGAACATCAAGAACCTTCAAATTGAACTATGAATAACATGAATTCAGATAGAGGGACGGCTCTTCTGCCCAGAGGTAGGTCTCCCAGAGCAGAAACATTTTTGTCCTCGTTACCCGAGTTACTACCTCGTGTCATAGCAATTTCCTCACCTTTGGATCTCTGCCAACTTTTTCGAGAAGTGAAATCACCGATCGAATATGACCCTCATTAATCATATTCAGGGCCTCTGGTGATTCTGTCAGTACACAATAAAGCACGTCAAGGATTCCTGAGGTAGATTATTTCACACCAATGCAATCAATCAGTACTACGATACATTATGAACCTTCGGCTGATTGTGGATTACTGAGACGTCCAAAAAGCCAGTCGAGACGTTGTGCAGCAGCAAACTGAGCACAATTATAGTGATTTCCCTTGATCATTGCCGCTACCAAAAGGTAGAGGTATGTAGCGATTTCTTCCCACATCATCTGTAAAAATGAACGGATTAGAAGTGGTACGAGATGTGCTCAAAATGGAAAAGAAGGGAAATCAAAGTCTGTGCAGCAATGGAATCACACTTCGAGTTGTAGAAAACACGGTTCCTGGCATGCGCCCGAAAAAACCCCTACTGCGGGTATGGGAGAGCATCAGATGAGTGGGAGAGGGCATGCACATGAGGCGAGTGACCATTGCACTCATCGTAGACGGCTACATAGAGCTCTCAAGGGCTCTTAGAAAGGAACAGGGGACAACATCGACTAGCCAGAATTACGAGCCGCACTAATCTAATACACTATCTGAACCCTTTCTTTGAGGGTAGATGGTCCATGTGAAGTTGGTGATGGGAGAACCTTCTAGCTCAGCAATGGGATGAGATTGGTAATTTTCCGCTGTGAATTGTATTGCGGTCATGGAGCGGACAACTCTATTTAAATGGCACGAGCCTATCAGGCCCTCTGTTTCCACAGAACTGTTCTCGCAGCTAAAACCCCGCTGGATCCGTTCATTATTCTTTCTAATACTTCTGACCTCCATGAAAGATTCAGTGCAATCTGACTCCAAGGGATTTTACCAACAGCAACTTGTTAATATCCTACAGTTCTAAAATTTAACGTCTTACATGAGTTTCTTCGCCTATGATTCCGGCGAAATCGGGAAGGGCTTCCATGAGTGAGAATTTATCGATCGTGTCCAAGATCATGTTCAGTACTCCTTCTTCTTGGAAGAGATCCTGCCGAGAGCGCAACGCTCGGAAGCGATTCTGCTTTGCTTCGAAATCTGAAGTATGAAAAGCGATGGAATATCGACCAAGGAGAGGAGGCAAAGATGATCATTCAGACAATAGGGAGAATTCAAAGATGAAAATGTTGCCGCCCAAGCCCAACTAACCTTGATCATCCTCAGGTTGAGCGAAGTACTCAATCAGGTCTTCCATAAGCTTCAGCACCTCGTTCAGATCGACTCTTGCCCAATCAGCCGCTTGTTGCCCTTCATTTTGAAGGGCGTCGATGCCTCTGAATCATTAGAACTAGCGATCATCTACCTCCTATACCTCCAAATACAAAGTTCTTACGTTTTTTTCGAACAAGAAATTTCGTGAAAATAATACGTTACAATACTATCGAAAAAACCAAAAATCTCTTTAAAAGAGATGATTTTTGGAGGGCGAGATGAAATTCAGAAAAGAAGTTGACGTACTTAAGGAACCGATTCAAAACGCTTGAGCATTTGCGAATGACTCGGGCCGATTTCGATTCCTCTTCCAGGGCCATGAAAAACGTATAGCAGTCATCCATGTGGCCATCCTTCAGTGCAACCGCTTTCTTCTCTTCTACCTGAACTCAGGAATTGGGGAACTACATCAAACGAAAAAGAATGGGACAGCGCTTCAGTTGAGCTCTGGATATAACAGTTACGGAACAACCTCCTTAAGATTCCTAGAACCAGAGCGAGAAAGCAAAATGATTGAATCGAGAGATCATCAAAAAATTGAGATTTTATAACTAATCTGGTGAAATTTTTTTCAAAAAAATGCACAAAATGCATCGAAGAAATCGAAATTTTAGTCCCCACCATGCCCTTTTGCTTTTTTTGGGCTGTCGCACCGGTTTAAGAAGATTTTTGAACACTCAGTCTGAATTTAAAAGTTTCACCTTTCCGAGTCCTTTCTTGGTGACCTCGGATGTCTGATAAGACATCCACAGCTGAGTCTTCACGTGCTGGATGAAAGCGTTGGTTTCACCGTACTGTATCGTCGCCGTACCCATGCCTTCTTCTTCCTTTTCATCGAGCATTTGTTTTTTAGGATCCTGGTATTAGCAAATATTTACTTGACGGCGTATATAATAATTTAAAGTAGTCTCTGAACCTTATTTTGGCACATTACGAAGGCCGTTAGGTCGAAGTCGGCTTTATCCTTGTGGTATAGTTGCACCGCGTTCTCCAACACTCCAAGATACCTGGAATTGCAACTTTTTTCATAGTATTCCTAATTATGTAGTATCCTTACTTCCCTATGACCGAACAGTCATGCGTGGTGGCATCTGAGAGCGTATATGCTCCATTCAATTAACTGAAGGCCCAGACGATGTTCAAGTCAGTGTTTTTGCGCACCCGGATAAGGTGCTACCAACAAAAGCTCTGGTATCAAACAGTCAAAGAGCCGTGTCAAAAGGGCTGACCTATGTAGTGACAAGAAAATAAATAGGACCTGAGCTGCATCGCAGACTTGAGACAACTACGTAGTGGGTTGATTTTGGAAAACGAGAAGCAAAGGGGCGTCCTACGGTAGTGACCAGAGCATAGCTTCCGCCACTGTTGCGAACATGGCGACACTAAGGAGTCACAAAAGGAAAGCCCACAGGAGAACAGAGAGCTTCAGCGAGCGATCCCTTATATAATACTCCTAGAATGGGTGATATACAGCGATAAAGAATTTCATGGCAAAAGTGGGATTATGATCAGATGCTCTTCATTCAGAATATGATGCACACTCCTTGGCATTCCACGCTATCCATGTTTGGAAGGCAAACAAAAATTAAACAGCGTGAGGTGAAGAAAACTGTACAGTAATGGCAGCTTACCTTCCACTAGTGATATGTTTGATTCGGAATAGTTGCTCCCAACCAATTAAAGCTCCATGCCATTTCATACGGATCAATTCGACTCGCCACAAAGATCGAGCTTGTGAGACCGCTTGGCCACCTTCATAGATTACCATACTGTAAAGAAAAAGCTGAGTGTACCAGAATATTCGAAGTAACATAGTACGATGTGCTGTAACTCGAAAATTCCACGAAGGCCACTATTACGATCGACGGTCTCTCAAAATTTCTACGTTGCTTGAGTACGTGAGGGAGTAAGGAACATACGGAAGCTGTTCATGGAAGCTTCTCTACGACCTTACAAACTGAACAACCCTTTCTAAAAAACTTCTGCGCTTAGCCGAAGAAAAAGCGAATTGGCAAATTATAGGACCGGAGCGAAGGTTTGTCCAGTACTCAATTCTGAAAAATTCAGAGGTAATAATCTAGAAAACTGACTTGTGCTGTGGGTGTTCGCTCCAATTTTCAGGAATCGTCAAGCATTCGTCGTTACCGTGAAACAGTCGCATAACATCATTACCAAATACATAGCCTGAACAGATTATTGTGAGGGGCCGGTGAAGGCTTCCAGGAAAACAGGTAAAGAAATAGTAGTTGAGAAGGTCTTACCCATATTTCTAGTGCGTACGCTACCCGAGCTTACACTCTGTATATTCCACAATGTTTGATGGAATGACGCTATCACCATGTAACCTTTACTATAGGCCATGTGCTGTAAATGGGGTTTAACTTCGGCTTTTCCTGAACTACAGCACTTTATCAAAAATCTTACCAGATAGCGCTCGGTGGCGACACTGACGAGGATCACATCATCACCGACACGAACCTTTTCACCTTCTGAACGTTGTTTCGAGGCAGGATGTATCGTCCACCAACATGCCTCGCCTTGAAAAAAGTCTTTCTGTCCATTACGACTGTTAGATAAGGCACATTGAAGG